GAAAGAATTTTTCAAAACACCGAACGATAGAATGGCATCACGTGTTCCATATTCCCGAACGTAAAAGTTTCCATGTCATAGCGGACGCAATTGAAAATATTTTTCTTTTTATTTTTTATATAATTACCGAAAAGTAGCCAAAGTGCCAAATGATATTTATTACATCAAACTAAAAAAAAGTAGCCACATTTGGCACAATGTAGCCAAATCTTGCAATGCTGGAAGGAATACTAAATAAAGCTGGAGTTGTAACTCAAAGGATTATAGACCCAAATGCGGGGAAAGGAGAGAAAGGACAAAAGATAAAGAAGTGAGAAAGGTTGGAAAATTAAAGGTCAATATTTTCATAATAGAAGATCTATTTAACCTTTCTCACTACTTTTTATCTTTTGTACTTTCTCTCCTTTCCCCAAATTTGGATCTATAATTCTTTGAGTCACAATTTGAGTCATAAAGGTTTATGGCTTTGTGAAACTTCTTTTTTGAGTTTATGCCATTGAAATAAATAAATAATTAAAAAAAATTAAAACATTTATCAGTTTTGTTTACATGTTTATTGGGCTGCATGCAGTCCACATGCCGCAGGTTGGACATCCCTGTTCTAGAATATATATATTTGATCCTGATGATGGCTACTAATGTAGCTGGAAATGTTTGTTTTATTAAATTGTTTTCTGGATTTTAACCATTTAACTTACAATTGTTTATTACATTCAATAGTACAGTGGGTGATCAGTTAACAAACATAATCCGTTCCAAGACTTTGTTCGCTATCCGAATTGTTCGTTAACCGATTATCGATTTACTATAGGTTTCTATGGGAATTTGATTAATTCATTCTGGAGACCCCAAAAGAATCAAAAATAAAAAATATATACTTTCTTACTATGTTTATTCATATGTAATAATAAAAAATACATATATACACATATATACGGTCTTGCATTTTTATTAGTTATGTTTTTTCCATTTGTGGGGGTTAAAGAATCTGTCCAATGTCGATTGCTTTTCTGTCTTCGTGATTTTTCAGAAGTAATTAATAGCATTGTCATTGTGGAGATCCCTAGCCCTATTAACTTCAGCCTAGTTTGGATGCCATTTTAAGACCATTGTTCTGACATTCTCCCGCTTCTTCAAAAGATCTTTAATAGCAGATATCGGCATAAATCCGCATTTTCAGAAGAAAACGTAAAAGAAATATTTCTGTCAGAAATATAAAAGGCTGGAATTACAAGGAAGAGTTTCAAAGTTTTGGTGAATACTATTCGATCAGTATATACTGGGTAGAACGTCGATGTTGACGTCTCTCATGTTCTGAAAAGTTTCGAATTGTTGCCTGAAGACAAAGGAAGACCAATCAGTACTGTATTCGTTATTTTGCGTCACTTCTTGTATTTATTCAGTGAAGTGTTCATTATCCAAACATGTGTTCATTGTCCGATCATAAAAATCTTTTGCGAAAGTGTTTGTTAACCAATCTGTTTATTAACCAATCACCCACTGTATATACATTTCAGTAGGATCAATAATCAATGTATATATTGGAAATTTGATTAATTGATATTTAATTAGATTCTGCATCTAGTCATTAATGACTTTGAAATCTCATCAAAGATATTTCTTGAAGATGTTTTAATATCCTGAAACAAATCGTAATGATTCCACTTTAAACTTCAATTTTTTTAATTTTGGGAATAGCAGTTGGCAAGAACCAAATTTGATGAAGAAGGTGAGTGATCAGTGGCTACAAAGCCTTTTATGGCCAAATAATCATGAATATGTTGGGACTTCTATGATGGTCACTACTACATGACAACATACCATCTACATATCAATGCACTATCACACAAGTCCCATTACAAGTTGTTTGTGATACCTAATAAATCCTTGCTATAAAGTGCTTTAGAACCCTCAAATAATACTCTCTGTTTGTTGCCTGACCTTTTGGAATGAACTCCTTGTTGATTAACCCATTGGAATCAAAAAATGTAATGAGCATAGTCTTGAAGATGTATGCTTTGTGTTTTTTGAGACACTGTCATTTTGTTAGTGGCTTGGGCTGATAGCACTGTCTCATCACCAGTTTATACAAAAAATTTTTTATCATTGCCTATAGTTATGATCATGTCCACCAAAAGGAGGCCACAGTGAAACACATCAAGGATTGATGTGTTTCACTGTGGCCTCCTTTTGGTTGTCCAAAAGCATGAACCTGGCACAGAATTTCCATTTATCCAAACCCTGTCAGAATCATGTGGATGATGAATTTTATCCAAAAACTCATCTTCCATTTGATTCTGACAGAAGATTCAGATAAATATACCTATAAGTTATATAATATACCTGTCTATAAGCTTTCTGCTACTGATGGAGAGACTTGCAAACTTTGAGGTTACAAACAACAGTGTTATCACTGAGCTAACATGGCAGATTCAGTGAATTTTTCTTCTCGAATAAAGAAATGAAATATATATAGTGTGGTAGGATGTAACATTTCTTACAATAATACCATAGGGGTAGTTTTTTTTTATTTTTTCTGAATGAAAAAAAAGGCCCAGTTAGTAGAAAAGCATGAAATGTATGGATTAATGCAGTACAGAGGTTTTATTTTTATTTGTCCATCTTCATTAAGTATAAAAGCATTCCTAAGTTTTGATAAATATTTCATTTTCAATAAAACAGTAATATCTGTTACTGCCTCTGATAATGCCATCTGGAGAACAGCATAGACAGGGAATTTTTGGGCAAGATATTTGAGCAGATGATATCTGAACAGTTTTCTATCAGTATACTATACTTGGATTAGCTGGTGATATGTGTTAGTTTGTTTTTCAATATCTTCTTCTTCTTCTAATCCTTGTTGCTTATTATTTTTTTTTAAAGTTGCTGGTTTATTTTAAGCTTGTGGTAAACTTATTCTTGATTATAATTTTTCTTCTTCACTAATAGAAAAGCAAGACATCCTGCATACTTATATCTATCAAGAAGTCTTGCCCTGCATGAGTAAAAGACATTAATTATTTTCCCATTGGTCATTAAGATGAAAAAATAATATACTACCATTAAATTAATATGTTTATGTTGATACTTTTATGCCCTATATTGATGACAGCAAATTTTGCATGTACTTTTTTTTTTGCAATAAACATTATAAAGATTTTTAAAATTTTTGCATTGATACTTTTATTTTTAAAATAAAACATACATTTTTATTAAAATGTATCAGTACAAATACAGTAGACCCCTATGACATGGTAGATATGTTCTGTGTTTTATGAAATTCATGTTTTATGAGTCCTTAAATACATGAGCCAATCACAGCCTGGCACATATGCTATTTATGGACTATGGCTGTTTGAAAGGTTTTCTTCCATAAAATTAATTGATTCTAGACTAATTTGCTCAACATTTCCAAAATATGTATAGTTTTTTGGGAATAATCCATATAAACTATGCTATAAACAAAAAATTGTAGGATTGCTAACCGAGTGTGCACCGTTTGACGACGCCATTGCTTAAGCTTGTTTTCGTCATGGAGCAGTACATCAAACAGCGGGCGCGTGTTTCCTGATAAATTATTTTTCTGCAAAAAATTTGCTGAACTTTGGAGACATCATTAATATAAATATAATTTTTATGGCTGTTAAATAATAAATGGTTTTTAGTAGATCCACTGCTTGTTTAAACTCAATGGTTTGTGCAATATCTGCTATTGGTCTAGATTCGACCAATCCTGTCCCGACATGAGTCGGCGATGATGTTTTACCATATCATACGAGTCTCTTTTAGCATGTTTATACAAATATGATCACAATTTTTTTGCTGTTATATATGAATCCATATCATATGAACCCCGTTTTATAGGGGAATTTACTGTATATTTTTTTAAAATTAAATTTTAATTTTATTTTAAAAAATGATTAAAAGAGATGTAATATAGACAATTAACATTTCTTTGGGCAACTTTTACTGGAATTTATTATGTACAGTATGTGCATTTGTGAAATATATTTACCAAGAGCTGTATATTTTTGAATTTTTTGAGTAACATTCTGAAAATGGCCTATTTCTTTTAATCTTTTTCCTGCTCTAATGGATTTTCTACAAAAAAAATGATCCTCAAAAGTGACAGGAAATAAAGTTATTTCTTAGCATTATGTTCATTGCAACTATGTAAGTGTATGTTATTATATGTAATTATGTTTTTCAAATTTTCACTACAAGAGGGCATTTCACCATAGTGCCATCAAATTTAAGTCTTGTAGATATTCACTAGTCAGACTTGAGAATTTCACCTGTTCTTTCAGTTTTCTAAGCTGAGTGAGTCATTTTTGGTCTTCCTATGTATTTGTCATCCTGCAATAATTTTTGGTTATCTCAAAAATTAGCAAATCACTGAAAACTATGGCCAAAGCTTCATTTCCATAAATCTTCTTTTTATCATTTCATGTGCTTTATAGGCTTTTTTTCAGTTTAAAACAAAATTTAATGTTGGCTCTCTATTACATTATTTATGTTTACCCAACAGCAAAGAAAAAATTACTTTGTGTTTTGGTGGCAAAACTAATAACAGGAATGTAGCACAATGAAATTTTTTAAAAGTTACTGAATCATTGTATTCATTTATAGAGGGTGCAATTGATGGCTCAACAAAAAATTACTATAGACAACTTTGGGACAGAAAGTATATAGTCCATAGATTAAAAACAATGTAGCACATTATTTTTTAAAGAACACTCCAAAAAAGAAAAAATATGTCTTCATAATTCAGGCTTTTTATGCAGCTCAGTGTTTCTGTGAATTTTAATTATATAAACTAATTGCTGTGTAACAAAATTAAATAATAACAAAATATTATTTTAAAAAAATTAAAAATGAAATATCTAAGCATTGAAAGGTGAAAAAAAAAATTTGAAAAGAACATTAGTTTACTATTTTAACTATTTTCTATTATTTGGTTTAAATATACAATAAAACTAACTATACAATTTTTATTTTAGCTATCCTTTAACAAACTATACATTTGGAACAAAAGAACCATTATATGAAAGAGATAGTTCTGTTCCTGCAAGATTTCAAAGAATGAGGCGTGAATTTGATAAATTTGGAATGCGACATTCTGCAGAAAGTGTATTGTTGGTTCACGAACATGGTTTGCCACATGTGTTGTTACTTCAACTTGGAACAACATTTTTCAAATTGTAAGGGTCTTTAAGTTTTATTATTTTTTAAAAGTAGAACCTAACAAATGTAATTTAAATATAATTTAGCATTTTAAGTATAAAAAGTATATTAATTATTTTGATTTTTATGTATTTGTCTGGATGAATTTACTGATAGTAATTTTAATTTTGCAAATATATTATTGTCTTTGAAATAATAAAACTAATGTTTTTCAGTATTTTGTGCTTTATTTTCTAGTATACAAAATATTTTACAAAGTAATAGAATCCACATACGTAATTATTAAAGTTTTATTGAATTATCTGTTTAAATTTTAAAAAAATTAAAATTAATGTATTGTCTGGAACACAAAGCTAATAAATAGTGGTTCCTTTTTTGGGAAGGACTATATCTTCAAATAATTAATCATAATTATCGCCATCAGATGAAAATCTACAAAAAATTAAAATATATTAACTCAACAGTGTATGTTTACTGGCAAAGTTTGAAATTCACCTGTTTTATGAAATTCCTGGTAATTTAATACAAAAAACCAGACAAAAGACTGCAAGATAGATTGAATTGGATAAAAGAAAATATTGGATAAAGTTGCTATTAGAATTTGAAGGACATGAACTGCTTTAACAGAATATTCTTCACAAAGAGATGTTATGATTTGAATGGCTTAAAGTTAGTTCAATATAAAAAGAATGGCCTTATTATTCTGTAAGAATACAGAAAAATTGAGGTCTGCTATAAAAATGCATATTCTGTCAAATTTTGTAATTTAATTAATTAAAAAGTAATGTAAATGAAGCTAAAAAATCTGACAGTTTGTTTTGTTTTCTATGAGAAAAGGCTGAATATTGAATTTTTTATATTTCTTATAATTTCAAAAATTGTCTGAAATAAATTTGTTTAAAGTTTGTAGTTTACAGTTCATTAAATATTTAATACCATAAAATACCAAAAATATTTAGATAAATCATTAATAAGAAAAATATAAAAAAATATAACAGATCCCAGTGATTACAATTATATTAAAAATAAGAAAAGACTATTATTTCAGAATTCTATTTTCAATATTTCAGTTGAAAATACAAATGGTGTGAATACAAGAAACTGCATCTATGAATTTACTGAATAGAAATATTATATTAATTTTTTTTAACTATTTACAGTGGTTAACGAACATAATCTGTTCAAAGACAATGTTTGCTACTCTAATTGCTTGATAACTGATTATTGATTTGCCATAGATTTTTATGGGAATTTGATTAATTCATTCTGGAGACCCCAAAAAATAAATAAAGTTATATAATTTCTTACTGCATTTATTTACATGTATTAATAAACTAAAAGCAATTTCTCCATTTTTTCATGGATGGCTACCTTATGTATAATTAAGTTAAAAATTCTTAAAATCTTTCATTTAAAAAAATTGTTATTCATTTAACTCTAATATTAAATACTTAAAAAAATTTTGTAATAATATACTTGTGTAAATTAGAGAATTTTAAGAACATATTAAGTGGATAATCTCTTGCTTAATTTATGTAGTGAACACAGTTCTTGACAGTCCACTCTTTTTAGGTTCCATATTCATATCAATTTTTTAAAATCAAAAGTTCAGGAAAACACTTATGAAAAATTCAGAGAACAGAAATCAACTAGTGCAAAAAAGGTTATGTATACAACTATACAACTGTGACAGTCTTGTTCCATAAATCATTCATATATTCCAGTAAAATATAGTTTTACAAATCGTCAAGTTTACAAATACGCAGTGTAACTTCTGTGAGGTGTTCATTATTTGAACATGTGTTTGTTGTCCAATTTGTTTGCAGTTTGAACTGTTTGTTAACCGATCACCCACTGTATTATAATAAAGCAATTTTGAATACTTTTTTGATTTATAAAGCTTTTTACTTTCATATTTTATATTCTAATGCCTACTTTACATTTGCATCTTATAAATTCTTGCCTGATGTTCTGTATATTGTTGATTTGTTACTGATTTCTTCAGTATATCTTTGTTTTCTAGTTTCCAACTAATAAATTTATCATTTTCACATTTATCAAAACTGCAAAATTAGCTTATCTCATGTATTACCATCTTTGCCTTTTATCAACCTCTGAAAAAAGAAATTCTGATTATTAGTTTCTGGTTTAATAGTAGAAACTTTTCATTTTTTTAAGTTTTTTTGTTACATTCATCAGATAGAATATCATCAGACACAAAGGGCATTTCTGTTAATACAAAATGCACAAAGAGCATGGAACATTACATCTCCTTTTTTTCCTGAATAGAATGATTTCCAGAAATTGTGTCTAAAATCTGGATATTTGAGTCTCAATTGTAACTTTTATACAAACATAATAATTGTAGTTTTGTAAGTCTACTTTAACAATTAATTATTGTCTTCCTGTGTAATCTGTTATATTTTATGGACAGATAAAACAATTACATTATATTAGTATAAATAAGTTAATGTGAGTTTATCAAATATTTGAAAATGGTTTATTTAATAATTATGATTAAAAAATTTCCTTGGTTTTTAGTTTTGGATGTAGAAATATCTTTGTATTTATTATTTTAAAATATTTTGTTTAGTTTATTAAGATTAAAATAGTTTTTATTTAAATAATAATTTTCTACAAAAATAGTGATAACATTTCAATAATGTATGTGTTCTATTTTGAATTTACTTAAAATTAAATATTTTTTAAGAAACAGTTTAACAAAACAATTATTTGTATTATTAAAAACATAAATATTTTATTATTAGACCAGGAGGAGAGTTGGAAGCAGGTGAAGATGATGTTGAAGGCTTAAAACGATTGATGACTGAAGTTAGTATAAATTTTATATTAGGAATTTCAAAAAATAATAGTAATAAAAATTAAAATATTTGCCATAATATTAATGTTAATATTTGTTTTTCAAATGTTAATGATTTATTTTATAACGTCATTAATTTTTTTAATGACAAACAAAAGCAAAATTAATATGTGTATAATTTTAAAACATAACTTTGAAGAGTTACAGCACAAATTTTGAAATGTTCTAGAAAATGATTTTATATAAATTTCTGAAAATAAACAAAGAATAAAATGATTAAACTTTTCTGCTAACTGGCTATACATAAACTTCTAATTAGTTAGCATAAAGTCACTCTTGAATGGCTGATGATAAATAAGTTAGATAAATTTTATTACAGTAGAGCATCGATTATCTGACTCAATTGGGGACTGGGGTTGGTCGGATAACTGAAAAAACGGATAACCGAAAAATATGAAAAAATACATTATTAGTATAGTATATTAGTATATCTCATGTAATTAGTATATTAGTGTATCGCTATTAACCTACTTGCGTTGAATTTTCATCAATGTTAATTTAAGCCTAACAAAACTTTTTTTAAAATAATAATTGTCGCTATTGTATCATTAAAAATTAGAAAATTAAGCCTCGTTTAAATACTGGCTCCCTTTCATGGTCGAGTCATGTTGCCAGCTAAAACACGTAAAAATACTATTAAAGTAGTCAAGACATAGCCAAATATTGTAGCGCCACATCACTAGCGGACATTTGAATTTGCTGACTAGAACGGTCGGTTAACTGAGGTGACGGTTAATCGGGAATCAGATAATCGATGCTCTGTATATATTTCTATTACATAGCAAAGTTAAATAATCACTGCTAAGCTATATATTTGAATTGAGATGATATTAAAACTGCTGAACAGTCTTCATTAATATCTTAAAATTGTTTCATGAATAGTTATAAAATTAAAAGCTTTTTGTAAATCCATATAATTAAATTTTTAGAATTGCATAAATTTTTAGATGGTCATTAACTCTCTTGTCCTAGGCCATATTGACCCAGGCAACCATTTTTCCATGTTATTTTAGTTTTCCATTGCTACTTTTGTGTTTTTATGTATTTTTACAAATGTTCTTAAGAACAAATATACAATTTCAGGAAAAAATAAACTAAAACGTTATCACTGCTTTTGTAATGCATACTCTTCAGTCCATGATGTGGATCATTTTGACTTATACTCAAGAATGTACAATTTATATCTGCAGTACACTTTTTTTTTTTTTTCAAGTTGTTTTGGTTTTGATTTTGTAACACAATGTAAAAAGCTTTAATTTGCACAATTTGCATACCCAGCTTTTTTCCATAGAATCTTCTGTTTGTTTCATCTTGATAATTTTTTTTCTAAAGTAGACTGTAGAAAATTGCTAATTTTCATATCAATACATACAATAAATTTCAAAATAATTAAATTAAAAAAGCAGATCTTGTAAATTACTAGTACATCGAGGGCAACTATATGCCATGATCAAGTTTTTCAATGGCTTGAAGATAGGCTTAGTGGAGGAAGTTTTGAGGAGGAATCAAATGGGCTTTTTTAATAAAGAAATGTGGAAATATAGATAACTTTTAAAGTGAGGAAAGTTAGCAATATTATAAGTTACGTGTATCATCCTACATGAATGAATAGTACCCAGGCATGGAAAAGCAGCTAACATTCCTACACAGTCTTGAAATTTATTTATTTCACCTGACATATTGATTCAATCATACTATGAACAAACTGTAAAGGAAGAATACTGTTCATAGGAAAATGATTTCAGTGGCAAGATGTTAATTAGATGAACTGATTGTATTCATAGAAATATATTTGGTTACTGAAATTGAGAGAAATTTGTAACCTGTTTCTTAGTAAGATTTCAAACCCAATATATCATGCAATCACATCTGTAAGAATATTTGAAAAAATTTGGGGATGAATGTCTGTAATTTGATAACAGAAGAACAAGATGATCTTTAATCTGATAAATTGGCAGCAGCATCATACATCTTTTAAAAAGTGGTCAAAATATTACAGGTGATGATTTCTTTACAAGCATTGCTATTGCAAAATATTTAAAGGAATGGAAACTAACAATCTTTGGAACATTCAGGCAAAACAAACCATATATTCCACTGTGTTTTTAAGCCATCAAAAGATAGATCATGGATAGACACATCCTCATTACATGGTTTCAGTGATGGTAAGTTATGATGATAGTTGTATTACAAAAGAAAAAACAAAACAGTTATTTTTCTGAGCACAAGGTATCAAATAGCTGAAATTAGTAGTAGTAAAAAGAAAATGTCAGAAATTATATTGTATTATAATAAAGCAAAAGGTGGTGTTGATATGATAGATATGTGTGTCTTATGGAACTTGCCAAAGTGCTCATGTTATCCTGCAAAGATCAAGAATACCAGGCTTGACAAAGCAAGTCACCCTAGCCATGAAACTGGATTAAGAGCAGAAACAAACTTCCAAGCTGCACCTGTGTTTCTGATTGAGAGTATCAAAAAGAAAAGATATTTGTTAATATCAAACTATTTTGGATGCTGCACTTGCATTAAATAACTATACCATGAAATGCAGTGATATTTTTTAATCTTTAATGTTTTTGGTTGTTTTTTATCAACATTTTTAACATAGTATAAAAACAGCACTCAAGGGACTGTTTTTGTTCAAAATGAACAGAAAATAAATTTATTTCTGATGAATGTATTTAAATATTACTATTCTAGAACAAAAATTCAAAATGAAAGAATACTGGACTTTTTGAGTAATACATAAATCAAAAAAATGCAAAACAACCAAAATACCAAAACTGCATAAATAAACTAAAGAGATAATATTAAAAGTGTAGAATAAATACTAAAAACAATGAAAATAAAATTAAAAATATACACAAATATGTGAAATAAGTGAACATGTATGGTAACTTCTCTATACATTTTCATACTTTACCCAAAAGTCATTTGCTGATGTCAGAATACTGAAAATAATTAACTGTTTGCTTGAAATGAATTGTTTTGATCATGCAGATTATTACACAATTATATGATGTATGACATAAAAAATGATAACATTAACAGATTTCAACATTAAAACCTTGCTTTTTTAATGTGTACTTTATTATCATTAAACTTACTTTACTTATAATTAAAATTTGTTGAAACTTCAGTATATGGCTCAAAATGACCAGTGTGCGATTTAGTCAGAATTACTTCAGTGAATTCACAGTTCATGAATTCAGTGTTTCTCAAACTTTGTGTTCATGGAGAGGATTTTCCATTTCAGCTTTCTTGCAAATCAGTATTTTTGTGAGTTTAAATAAAAAATTTTTTCAAGACAATTAGAATTTTTTTTCTCGTTATTGTATTTTTCTTACTCATTCAGTCTAAATTACTAAATAAAAATAATTATTATAATTATTTTTATTTAGTAATTTAGACTGAATGAGTAAGAAAAATACAATAACGAGAAAAAAAATTCTAATTGTCTTGAAAAAATTTTTTATTTAAACTCACAAAAATACTGATTTGCAAGAAAGCTGAAATGGAAAATCCTCTCCATGAACACAAAGTTTGAGAAACACTGAATTCATGAACTGTGAATTCACTGAAGTAATTCTGACTAAATCGCACACTGGTCATTTTGAGCCATATACTGAAGTTTCAACAAATTTTAATTATAAGTAAAGTAAGTTTAATGATAATAAAGTACACATTAAAAAAGCAAGGTTTTAATGTTGAAATCTGTTAATGTTATCATTTTTTATGTCATACATCATATAATTGTGTAATAATCTGCATGATCAAAACAATTCATTTCAAGCAAACAGTTAATTATTTTCAGTATTCTGACATCAGCAAATGACTTTTGGGTAAAGTATGAAAATGTATAGAGAAGTTACCATACATGTTCACTTATTTCACATATTTGTGTATATTTTTAATTTTATTTTCATTGTTTTTAGTATTTATTCTACACTTTTAATATTATCTCTTTAGTTTATTTATGCAGTTTTGGTATTTTGGTTGTTTTGCATTTTTTTGATTTATGTATTACTCAAAAAGTCCAGTATTCTTTCATTTTGAATTTTTGTTCTAGAATAGTAATATTTAAATACATTCATCAGAAATAAATTTATTTTCTGTTCATTTTGAACAAAAACAGTCCCTTGAGTGCTGTTTTTATACTATGTTAAAAATGTTGATAAAAAACAACCAAAAACATTAAAGATTAAAAAATATCACTGCATTTCATGGTATAGTTATTTAATGCAAGTGCAGCATCCAAAATAGTTTGATATTAACAAATATCATTTCTTTTTGATACTCTCAATCAGAAACACAGGTGCAGCTTGGAAGTTTGTTTCTGCTCTTAATCCAGTTTCATGGCTAGGGTGACTTGCTTTGTCAAGCCTGGTATTCTTGATCTTTGCAGGATAACATGAGCACTTTGGCAAGTTCCATAAGNAACGACTGACGCTTCCTGCAGGCGGGAAAAAATTCAGGGCTGTGCATGACTGTCCCCTTCACAACTCCACCGAAGGAGGCCTCTCGCGCATCATTGGTTTACGCGGAAGAAAAAAAGGTTTGATACTTTTTGAACAGACCTTGTATTTGTAATATCAGAGAAAGTTTCTCAGATATTACAAATACATTTTATTTGTGGATGAAAAATGCAAATTTTAGCAATTTTTTGTAATTTTATATATGATTTGAATAGTTAAAATTAAGAAAATTGTGCTATTTATAACTTCAGTAATAATAATATTACTTTTAATAGTATGTGATAAATTTATTATGTAAATATATATAACTTATTATGATATAGTAATAAGATTACAAGTTACAAAGTAACAGCCTTTAAGCAGTTAAAACTACATATGAATGATTTTGGTCATTCAAATATAAAGACATGATTATAAGATGATTGTTATGATTATAAAAAAGTTTTCAGTTATACATCACAAATATAACAATTTATATAAATTATCTTTTATTTATAATGGTGTTTCTGTGTTTTTTTTTCTTTGCAAGAATATATTAAGTTTTTTATTTAGAAATAAAATTACAAATTAATAAGTGTTTAAAAGTTATAACTGAAATTTTAAATTATGAAAAAAAAATGATTTGAGATAAATTTTATTATTATTACTATTATTATTTTAGATTTTAGGACGTCAAGATGGAGTACAGCAAGATTGGTTAATAGAAGATGTTGTTGGAAATTGGTGGAGACCAAATTTTGAGCCTCCTCAGGTAAATTTCATTTTAATGTAAGGAAAAGCTTAATAGATATTTTTGTCAATGCTGCGTTTTTGTCAATGCTGTTATTAAGATTGTATTTCAAAGTATGATGCAAATAGTCTTAAAATATTTTATCAAATAATAAAAGGACTTTTTGATATTTATTAGTGTTGGTGTATTATTGACGATATAAAATGGAATTACTTTTTAACAAACAATTTCCAAAGATAACTTAAGTAGTAACATTCTTTCTGTGTCTAATATATCTCTTCCTTTAACTAGAAGAATGGAAAAGTGCTTTATTGTGATGTATGAGAGAGAGAGAGATCATAACTGGAAGGCATGAAACATTAATCTTTGATCCATGGATATTTGTACTAACATAAATATATGCTATCTTTTTGTGTTGTTTTCATTACTGCAGATGTGTGTAAAATATATCAGCTCTAAAAATAATATTAAAAAAAGACATTTGCAGTCATTCATGCCTATATGTTTCAGAATTTTGGAATCTCTTCTAATGTTTGAAGAATTGATTATTTTTACTTTTAAAAAGTGTTCGATTTTAGAGGAGAGACTGAAGCTAACAAAAAATTCTCAAAACATTTATCTATTATTAACTACAAGAGTTCTTTAAGGGAGTTATCTCAAATCTGTAAGTTATAAAAAGAAGAAACAAATCAACTTTTATTTGGATCCTGCAGTAAATTTTTACTAAACTAATGTTTTTGAATTATTTCACAACTTGACTTTAGGTTCAGAAGTATTTTTAAAATACACCACACGTGGGTGTTTGAAATAAAATACACACATGTGCACTGTATTCTAAAAATATTTTTGAATCTGAAGAAGAATTATGAAATAACTTGGAAAATGTTAGTTTAGTAAAAGTTTACTATTGAATTGTTTGTTTCCTCTTTTTACAAAAATCCAGTTGAGACTCCTTTAAGTTATTTAATTGTCTGAAGTTTTTCACTACATGATTTTTTGTATATTTTGAAAATTATTGATTAAATATTATAAATTAATTAGTGAACTGTAGAAAATTTTGGAAAAAATGGTTTATTGTGAAATTAAATAGTATGTGATAAAAATAATTATATACTTACATATAATTAATTATACACTTTAATACTGGTAATATAGTAATTTTGAAATATTTTTGTAGTTTCCAAGTTTTATTTATTACGTATAAGCTGATAAGGTAATAGTTATTTAGATTAATAATGAAGTTATTATCTAGGTGATGAAAATACTAGATGTAGGAATTAATCATAAATATTAAATTTATTTGCTTACAGAAAAATCTAAGTGTATCATCAACTATTGAAAAACATTAATGTAGAAAAACCTAGAAAAGAACTGAAATGAATACATTATAAAGCAATATGGTATTCTAATTAAAATACAGTAGAGCATTAATTATCCGACTCAGTTGGGGACTCAGGTTGGTCGGATAACTGAAAAAATCGGATAACCGAAAATAATGAAAAAAATACATTATTCGTATAGTATATTAGGATATCCCATTTAATTAGTATATTAGTATATCGCTATTAACCAACTTTGCGTTGAATTTTCATTGATGTTTAGTCTAACAAATTTTTTAAAATAATAATCGTCACTATTGTATCGTTAAAAATTATTTTAAAATTATTTTATTGCTCACAAAACAAACAACCACTCATAATTAAAAATTAAGTCTTGTTTAAATACTGGCCTCTCTTCAATGGTCGAGCTGATGTTGCCAGCTAAAACACGCAAAAATTTAACAAAAACAATATTAAAGTATCCAAGACATAGCCAAATATTGTAGCACCACATCACTAGCGGACATTTGAAATTTGCCGACTAGAATGGTCGGTTAACCGATGTGACAGTTAATTGGGGGTCGGATAACCGATGCTCTACTATAAATGTAAATACTGTATCAGTGTTAATTAACTTCAATTGATAAGCAATTTCACTTTATTTGCAAGTACTTTTGACAGTTTATGACCATCATCTTCAGGTGAATTGACTGTTGTCATTTTTTTTTTTTAACATTGCCCTGGTCAATAAGATGAGTTTTTTCTTACCCATCACAAGTTTGGCAATGCTTAAAATGGAGGCAACTGTGTGGGAGGGACAGGGCCTGTCCCTCCCACACGGTTGCCTGAATCCTGAATATCCTGATATCCTGAATATACAACTGGGTGGGAGGGACAGGGCAGGCCCTCCCACCCAGTTGTATATTTAGGATAAACTGCTCACAGAAATTATTTGGAATTGCCCACTTGGATACACTTCATGGCCAAGTGAAGATGATGGCTGTAAATTGTCAAAGTTGCTTATCAATTAAAGTTAATGCTGGTAGACAGTATTTATGATTTGTTTGTATTTTGATGTTGAATCATCTTTGAATAAGACTAAGCATTCTAAGTTGGATTGTTAAAAGACATTGAAATTTAGGTGAAAGTGTAACTATATAGTTTGACATAAAAGTAATTTATTTCAAATTATTTATTTGCATATGCAAATCATTTTAGAGTGTAAATTTTACTTAATTATAAAAAGTTTTTATTTGAATGTTATTCTAATGAAATATTATTGTTTATGCAAATAGTATTCTAACTATCCAAGTCAGTTTTTCATGTAAAACTAGGAATTAAAATAAAACATTAAGATTTTAAAAATTTATCTGTTTTGATATTCTAGAATTTATATTTTTGTAATAGACTTATCATTTATTATAATAATAATAATAATACTAACAACAATAATAACATATCCATTCCAAATACTCACAATATACAAAACACATTCACTGAAAAAATGAGCAGTACACAGAACTTTCCCAGGAAATAAGGCATCTGTGGAGAATGGAAAGAGTGCTTATTGTACCTGTCGTTCTCTCCTTTACCGGTGTGATACCACACAAACTACACAAAAGCTGGGAACATTACAATTGAATAGAAATACATACATCACACTACAGAAGGCCACTATATTGAATACATGCTACATTGTTAGGAAATTCCTGAATACGGACACTGACACACTTATTTAATTTTAGTTTTTGGTTGCTATGCCTTGACTCTGGTCTGGCATAGTACACAGCCACTGATATCAACTGAGTATAACCCACTAAATACTGTATTATAATAATAATAATAAATTTATTTAGAGTAAAAACAAAACAGTGTTTAAATACTGTTTTCTATTGATTTTTTAATATATACTTTCATTATGAACTTTTATAAAATGAATACATGTTACTTTTTATTTCAGTATCCATATATTCCCCCACATGTAACAAAACCAAAGGAGCATAAGAAATTATTTTTTGTTCAACTCCCAGAGCGAGGTAAATATAAAACATTTATATTGTTTCTTTTGTTTTACAGATAATTTTTTATTAAAGATAAGAAGATTTCTTTTATTATGGAAAGAATGATTTTTCATTGTTGTTAGTTTTTTATATTTTATATAAAATATTTAATAAAAAATTTTGTTGTAGATTGTATAACATTTGATACAATAAATATTAGTTGAAATGCTGGAAGCATTGCTGATAATGAATACTTGGCAAATTTTTTGAGTCAGTTCTAATGAGCTTTCCATTATTTTAAACAAAAATAAATAATTATTACTGTTGACTTTACATTATTTTGACAAACTGTTTTGTTGCATAAGTACAGTAGAGCATTGATTATCCAAAATAATCAAAGTTGGACAATTTTGGCTAACTGATTACACTTGGTTGGAAAAGAATGAAAAGACAAATACAGTCGACCCCCCTATAACACGGTAGATATGTTCTGGTTTTTATGAATCCATTTTCTACGCGTCCAGCCAATCACAGCCTGGCATGTATGCAGTTTACGGACTACAGCTGTTTGAAAGGTTTCTTCCATAAAATGAATCGATTGTAGACTAATTTGACTCAACATTTCCAAAGTGTGTATAATTTTTTGGGAATAATCCATATAAACTATGCTATAAACAAAAAATTGTAGGATTACTTACCGAGTGTTCACTGTTTGACACGCCATTGCTTAAGCTTGTTTTCATCATGGAGCTTGTCATTGAATGGCACTCGCGTGCTTTCTGATAAATTAAGTTTTTTGCAAAAAATTTGTTGAACTTTGGAGACATCATTAATATAAATATAATTTTTATGGCCGTTAAATAATAAATGGTTTTTAGTAGGTCCACTGCTCGTTTAAACTCAACGGTTTGTACAATATCCGCTATTGGTCTAGATTCGACCAATCCTGTCGCAACAGAAGTCAGCAATGACTTTTTACCGAATTATAGGAGTTGCTTTTAGCATGTTATATGAATACTGTCGCAATTTTTTTGCCGTGATATAGGAATCTGAACTATAGGAACCCATGTTATGGGGGGTCGAAGTTAAAATATTAATTTTAATTCTAGTACAGAATTAAAAATAAGATTAGGGATGAAAATTTAATACCCATGAATGATAAGAAAAAAATTGTCTAATTTATTAAAAATAGGTAGTAATCATTTATTGCAATCTACAGTATAATGTACTGATAAAACTTTGAATATAAAGTAAAAAATACATAATAAAATTAATATTAAATAATGTACAGTACTTATTAAAAAAAATTAGTTATTACTGTTTTTTAAAGCAATCACTTATTTTGCTTTGTTTTACATAGTTTTTTTTTTTAATTTGCTAAATTCCTGGTTTGCTTGATTGTCATGAAAGCTGAAAAATCTGCTTTAGGTTGCATTTTTAAACATGTCAGTGCAGTTTCTAATGCATTAAACTGTTATTCATTAATCACGTTTTTCTGTTTGTACTGTAATAAATAAAATTTACACTAGTGTTGATAACAAGAAATTTCAGTTGCTGGCCTACTAAAGATCACCAACAATAGTTGTTACTAAAGCTAAGACATTTATATACTAAAAATCATATGCAAAGAAAAGCCATTAATTACAGGCAATTTTGGTATAATGGATATAAAACTGATGTTTTCCTAAAATTTGCTTGATGATATAACAAAGCAGTTATCTGGGCACATATTGCTTTTTCATGTTGGCAATCATACTATAAGCACATGCTCAGTGTCATATCAAAGATGGCTACGTCATTGTCAGTTACATGCTTTTTATGATTGGGAGATATGAAAATGACTGAAATTTATCACAGGAGGTCGTGTCAGTATGGAAACAGTTGTTTAAGCTAACATAAGGTATATGATTAATCCCGAGATATAAGGAGGGTGGGTACTTTGTCTGCAATGAGAAGCAAGTGGGTTGATTAACAACTGTCACAATGGACACAGAGCATAAACTGATGTGAGAATGGGAGAAATACAATTAATGACATCTCTGCCAAATTCAACATGAGCATGGCTATGCATTTAACATTGTCCACAATGAACTTACATACAGAAAAGTTGCATCAGGTGGGGTACCAAGTGAGCTGAAGCCAGATTACAATGTTGTATTCACAACTATGGCTCATGTTGAATTTAGCAGAGATGTCATCATTTGTGATTTTCCAGGACTCCCTAATTCACATATCAGTTTGCAAATTGATTGTGTCTATCATGATGATCGTTGGCCAAGATGCATGCTTCCTTAAGTATCTGGACCCAATCATACACGTTGCATTGGCTTAACTATTTCCATACTGAATCACTATCCTGTGATAAATTTTAACATCTCATTTTCACATCTTCCAATCACAAAAAAATGTGTAACATTTCACTGTTTCTCATGGTGACTCTTTAGTGAGGCAGCCATCTTTGATCAGTAACATTTCTGGAATTAGTACGCTCTGAAATCAGTTTCTGTTAATTGACTTTTTGAATAATTGATTTTCAGGTAATTAATCTCTAGGTGTAAGTATAAATACTAGTAAATTAAGAAAAGCAAATCTCTATTTATTAATCTTGTAATGTAAATATGAAAGTGCAAATCTTTTGATATAAATATCTCATTAGATATGCAAATAATTCAATGACAAAAAGTATTATGTATATAGTTAGTATACAGAATATCTGTATCTATAATATATATGTTACTGTGAATGACCGAAATCTGGCGAATGTCAACATTCTCCAATGAATGTCAACATTCACACAGTCATTTCGTGTATGTTCGAAATATTTGCTAAATATCGTTATTTCTCACTTACACCTGCAAATGTCGACATTCAGAATGCGCTGATGGTGAATGTTGAATAAAAATATTTTTATTACGTTAAGACAAAAATGCAACTTTTTAATATGTCAAAATAGGAGAAAGCTTAAGTAATAGTACATGTAAATAAACTGTTGAACCTAAAACGAACAGTACATTCTATATCATTAAAGAAAATAATACAATAATAAACTTACACATAAATTATGTGATTAACATTATACAATCTTATTTATTGCAACAACTTAAACTGTTATGGCATTTTGAATTGCACAAGAGTCCCTTGCTTTTACAACTGCATTTATTCGTGGAACACTTTTTTTTGCAATGACAGCGTGTATAGCCTTGCCCTCCACTTTTCGAATTAGCTGCAGCTGCTTCTCTCAGCGATATTTCTTGAGAAGAAATCTTACCTATGGAAAATTTTCTTTACAAATTACGAACTGATTACGGGTATAAAGCTGCTTGAGGGTATCATTTTTGTTTGCTAATTTATAAAAGTCGGAGTCTTCTATTCTAACAACAACTGCCAACACATTTCGTTCATCTGTACGACCACGGTCAACATCAGGGACTTGTATTCCTACGGTATCACCAATTTGAGCAGTAGGAAACGGCGAAGAATTTGGCGACAGACTGTCGCCTCTCCGTCGACATCAGCTTCTCGGGTGTCGTTTCGACCTCCATCAAAGCTTATCTGTGCTTGTCGACATACACCGGCGATTGTTCGAATGTATAATAATATAACAAAATATTCGGTCTTTCACCGAAGTATTTTGTATGTGTCGACATTCACCGGAGAATTTCGACATTCTCTAATTTCGGTCTTTCACAGTAACATATACGTATATAAATATTGAAATAGACTTCTCCTTTTGTGGTTATTGACCAGTCAGGTGAGGCTATGACTTTAAAACATATTTGAACAGTGACTGCTCATAATGCAATTTAATTTTGAATTCTTCTGCAATGGATTGTTTGAGAAAGTTATTCCAGAATTTTAAAGTATCCTGTTTATTTAATTTTCCTGACCAATGCATATGATGCATATAAATTTTTTCTATATTTTGTCTAATAATTTGATGCTAATTTTATTCTAATAATCTAAATTTTTATGGAATAGAATTTTGTTATTTGTTATTTTGTGAATTATGTAAATTAAAAGATTAGTAAGTACATGTAGAAACTAAAAAAAAATTATATATTGAAATCTTATTTCTCTCAAATAAGGATATATTATGCTTTTTCATTAAATAAAAATGTAACTTTTTGTAATATCGAATTTTCTGTTTATTAACATTACATATCTAAGTTATTAATAAACAAGGAATGATGATTATATAAATATCTGGTTGCTAGACCATTTTTTACAGATTCATTATACTCTGATAAATTTATTTAACTATACATACATATATATTATCAGAGTATGATGAATCTGTAAAAAATGGTCTATTAACCACGTACACTCTTCAAAACTGAAATTGCAACACCATGAAGGAATGCATGTAACCACATGCAAATTGCTGGACCAGTAGAGGTGAGAAAGATGTGCAAGCGATTAAGTTTGCATATGGATCAGATCATGTGGTACCCAGTTTTGAGCTCTAAAGACCAGAAGCCAATTTGGGCTGTAAGTGCTATCAGTGATCAGTGTCACTGCAAACTTTACTGTTTGAGTGACAATTTTCGAACAATGAACAGTGAAATGTCATGAATAAACATCTCCAAACCCGATATCCAATATAATAAGACACCAACCAAATGCCGTAAATTAATCGGGCTATTTTTAATGAAAAATAATACATTAAAAATAGCCCGATTAATTTACGGCATTCGGTTGGTGTCTTATGAAATGTCATGAGTTTAAAAGGACAATTTAGCACAACCACTTCGAAGTGGTTGAGCTAAATTGTCCCCCCACACGCATTCTAACATCTGTGCATACAGTAAAATCCCAAATGTTTTTGCACTTCTCTATATTCAAGGTTTCCCAAGTCCAAAAGAGTAAAAATCTGGGAAGTCATTTTTTGACTGATCGTCATTTTTTTCTTTTGTTATAGACCTATACTGTATAATATATAAATATCAACATCTCATAGCCCGAGTAGTAAATACATCACCAAACGATCGCCTAAATATCGGGCTATAATACGGCTAATTAAATGATTGGAATAAAGTAATTTGACACTAGAGGTAGACGTTAGGCGCCATCTCTTAAGTAAATTAATAATTAAATAAATAAATCAATAAATAAATTTAGAATCTTCTGGAATAAAAGAACTGGCCCGGGGCGGGACTCGAACCCGCAGCCTCCGCTTGCCGTGCGGCGCGCTTACCAGTTACGCTACCCAGACCCTCGAGCTAGTCTTCGCTTCCAGAAGTATATTAGATTTAGATATAACCTTACTTGGTTAAATACATTACTGACTGATTCTAAATTTATTTATTGATTTATTTATTTAATTATTAATTTACTTAAGAGATGGCGCCTAACGTCTACCTCTAGTGTCAAATTACTTTATTCCAATCATTTAATTAGCCGTATTATAGCCCGATATTTAGGCGATCGTTTGGTGATATACTGTATAATAGCCACAAAAGTAATAATGACGACAATTCTGATTACTTTTTAAAAAAATACAAAATAAAACAATTTTGAAAAATTAATTAAACGTTAAAATTTGACACATCTATTTAATATATAAAATCATGTTTATTAACTTATTTGATGATGGCAATGGTATTTGGTAATCATGTATAAATAAAAACAGTAAATACATTTGTACACAAACAAATTAGTTTAATAAAAATGTTGTGCATAATATATGAGTATATTATCTAATATATAAGTATGCACATACATTAAACTAGAGGGGTTGGACAAAAATATGGAAACCCCTCGTGAAATGCACAGTTGAACGTAAATGTTGATTCTAGCCAAGCCTCTAGGTTGCACTGTTGTATTTGACTACTAACGACACCTGTGCAATTTTCTCAATACGTTGCACGTGTCAGTCATTGTTAGAACTGTGTTCTGTGTAGGTGGGAGTGCACAATGTCAGAGCTAAGTGAATTCAAATGTGGGCAAATTGTTGGTGCTTGTATGGTGAGTGCTTCCATAACCAAGGTGGCTGAAGTGTTTGGTGTGTCAAGAGGCACCATATCGAAGATTTATACTGCATACAGAACAAGCAGAAAAACATCATCCGCTAAGTCACAACACGGACAAAAGTGTGTGTTGAGTAATCAAGACAGACAGTCATCGAAGAGGATTGTGACAAAAAAAAAGAAGACTACAGCTGCAAAAGTCACTGCCAAACTGAATATGAAGCTCAGAAATCCTGTCAGCACCAAAACAGTTAGAAGGGAGCTCCATAAGCAGGGAATTTCAGGGTGAGCTGCAATTCCAAAACCATTTAATTAGTAATGCAAATGCCCATAAGAGGAAAAAGTGGTGCCAAAGCCATAAAATCTGGACTATGGAGCAATGGAAAAGAGTCATTTGGTTGGATGAGTCTTGTTTTAGGCTGTTTCCAACCTGTGGCCGAGTTTACATGGCAAATGCTGTCCCAAGCCTATGATGCAGACTGCTTGCTGCCAAGAGTGAAACATGGTGGGGGTTCAGTGATGATTTGGGAAGCCATATTGTGGTATTCCATGGGCCCCATGATTACTCTGCAAGGTCACATTACTGCCAAAGGTTATGTAACCATTTTGGGCAATTGTGTCCATCCCATGGTACAACATTCGTTCCCCAATGGTGATGCTGTGTTCCAAGACAACAGGGCGCCTGTTCACACAGCTCACATCATCCAAGACTGGTTTTGTGAGCGTGAGGGTGATTTGTTGCATCTCCTCTGGCCACTACAGTCACCAGACATCAATATTATTGGGCCTTTGTGGTCTACTTTGGAGAGACATGTGCATGATCGCTATCCACCTCCATCATCGTTACCTGAACTTACCACTATTTTGCAGGAGGAATGGTACAGGATTCCCTTGAAAACCATACAGGACCTGTATTTATCTATTCCAAGAAGACTGTAAGGTGTTTTGAATGTTAATGGTTTTCCTACATCGTATTAGGACTTAGTAATAGATTTCTTTTTGGTGTTTTCATATTTTTGTCCATCCCTTGTAAGTCAAGAATAAGAAATATAACATTTAGACTGGTAAAGAAAAAAGTTGCTTGTTTTGTCATGTTGATTAATTTATTATTTTCCATCTTTGTTATAAACTTAATTACAATTTTAAAAAAAGAATCACTTCTATTAAGTCAACATTCATGGAAGCTCTTAAATCAGATTTAATAATTCTAAGAGCGGAAAATAAACGTTCTACTGAAACATGGGTTGATGGCAATACTGTATCTTGGATAATGTCTGGATAGTGCAGTATTGCCATTTTAACATTCAGATTTGAATAACAGTCAATGTGATTTAATTTTTCTGGTGCATTGTAAAAATCATCATTAAATTTTGTAAGATTTCCTTTTCTGTCTGTGCTCATATTAGAACTTGAGCTTAAATTTGAGGGTAGAGACAAATTTTATAAAAAATTGTGAATGCTAATAACGAATAAAATATTCATCATCCTTTTATGTCTCACCCTATCGACCTTTAATTAAAAATCAAAATTTATTAGCATTAATGCCCCTTTATACACAAGCTACCGTGCCAAATTTCATTTCTTAAACATTACTCATTCTGAGATATTCTTTAATATCTTGGAACAGAGAATATAGAAATTAAACAAATTAGATGCCAACACACACACACACAAGTTTTTCCTTTTTATTTGACATTTTTTGGGTTCAGGAAGTCTTCAAACATGTAGATTTGCAAAAAAACTCTGAGGGTCAAATTTGACAAGATTTCAATAGTTTTCCGTTTTAGATACATAACAAGTTGGAAAATAAAAAAGAGTCAGAGTTGGTGGATTTTTGACGACTTAGACTAAAAAGCCAAAACTTCACGACTCTGACTCCACAGCCCTGATTGAAATATCATTACATAATTTTTTAAAAAATAGTAATATTTATGATGAATATTCTGAAAATTTATGGACTTTCAAGATTTTTAATTTTATCTTTGTAAGATATATGACATTTATGAATTGAGAAAATATAGTATATGTTTCATTGTTAACAATTTTATTTACAGCTTTGTTTGCAGTTCCAAAAAATTACAAGTTAGTAGCTGCTCCTTTATTTGAATTATATGATAATTCACAAGGATATGGACCAATTATATCTAGTTTACCCCAGTCATTAAGCAGGTAAGAAACTTGTCACTATAATAATTTTAATTTTCATATACTGTAGTATGTTGTTTTTATCATTTTAAATCTTTGTTGTTAAAATTTCTTATTAACTACTAAGTTTTCTGTACTGTATTTAAAATATATTTCTAAAGCCAGACAAATTGTTGAATTTGATTATATAGGCTATAATATGACTATGTAATTAATTAAACACTAAATAATTTGTTTACAGGTAAACAGTTTATTCAGTTTTTAATTATGTAGCTATGGGTGCGTTTACCTTTTGCTAACTTTCAAGCTCATCGAGCTGACACCTAGTACAGCCTGACGTCATACTAGCACACTTGTAAAAGTATACACAGTGATGGATGCCGCTATCTTCGAACATACTCCAAGCTTGTTGTAAATTCTTCGAGCACACTGAGCGTGCTAGGAATGCTAGCAATGATGTCATGGGTGCAAAAAGTAAATGCCGTGCTCATTGGTAGCTAACAAAAAGTATATTAGCACACTAGGGGCGAGAGCTAAAATTAAATGCACCCTATGTTAGCTTAATAATTCAGNGTAACTGAAGCGCCACTTGTAATCGTCCAATGCGCCATGTTTTGGCCACCCCTAATATAGGCTATAATATGACTATGTAATTAATTAAACACTAAATAATTTGTTTACAGGTAAACAGTTTATTTAGTTTTTAATTATGTAGCTATGGGTGCGTTTACTTTTTGCTAACTTTCAAGCTCATCGAGCTGACACCTAGTACAGCCTGACGTCATACTAGCACACTTGTAAAAGTATACACAGTGATGGATGCCACTATCTTTGAACAAACTCCAAGCTTGTTGTAAATTCTTCGAGCTCACTGAGCGTGCTAGGAATGCTAGCGATGATGTCATGGGTGCAAAAAGTAAATGCTGTGCTCATTGGTAGCTAACAAAAAGTATATTAGCACGCTAGGAGCGAGAGCTAAAATTAAATGCACCCTATGTTAGCTTAATAATTCGGCAGCTCTTTGGCTTAACTATAAATCAGGTTTTTGAATTTGTCTATATATACAGTATATATTTCTATATTGGATTTTAACCAATAAGATATTGTGATAAAATAAATGCTGTTAAAAAGTAAGAAACTAAGGTATTTCCTTAATTTCCTAAATCTTTTATCAATGTTATTTTAGTAAGTAAAATTAATAATTGAATAATAATATTTTTAGTCATAAAAGAAATTTAAGTCATGGCTGGTTAAATGTTGGTGCAATACATCAGAATATTGTAGTAATAAAAATAATATGTGGCTAAGATTCTAATTAGAAGAAAAGATCTTTCTGAAATACTTATTTAAGCTAATTTTTACTGTTAAAATTATACATTGTTTGATAAATATTCTGCATTAATTTTAATATTCATATTGATTTACAATAAATTTTAAACATAACTAAAAGATAACAGATATTTAAATAATGTCAAGAATTTTTAACAAAATTATGATATAAACAATACAAATTATATATCTATTAAATTAACTACAATAGTAATTGTGTTAATTGAATTGATTGGGAATCCTGTTATATTGGAAAGTAAATTAAAACAATAATAGATTGTCACTCAAAAGTTTTGAGTTTTTGTGTGAAAAAGATCAAAGTTTTATATAAAATTATTTAAAGAAATTAACTTTTAAATTTTATTGATTGGTGTAGTTTTTAAAAATAAGCCATCTTTAATCAGTACTGATGCTAATGTCAGCAAATAATCTTTCTATGTAAGTCAGTTGTATTATTGATTATCTTACTAGAGTATTCTTTGTTTTATTTTTATTTATTGCTTAAATTATGAACATTTGATTTCCTTTTTCATTCATTATGCATTTAGTAAATAACCATCTTATGTCTTACAATAGAATTGTTTATTCAGAAAAATGGAGAAGAATGGAGACTTGTAAATGTTACTGTGCAGTTGCAAAACTGTACAAAAGAAGCTTGATATTTATGGGGGTTATGTTTTGTAATAGTTTCATTTATAATGATAAAAATTAGTAATAATAACAGCTGTTGAACTTCCTCCATGCAAAAGATCTACAATTTCAGTTGTTTTTATTTTTTTCTTTTTGTCTTGTTTCATTATTGTTGTTGATCCTTCCCTGAATTTTAACTTAATGAATATGAAAAATGGTTTCTAATAATAAACTGTGAATAAATGAAATGTGCAAATAAAGAGTGTGCAAATATGAAGCTTTTATTCCATCCATCTATTTTCTTGAATAAAATATATATAATATAAAATACAGCAATAGCAGTTTGTTAATCTGATAACTACAGGACTAGAATGATGCCAGATTATCAAAAATGCTGGGTGATTACTGAATGTTTTTGTATTTATACAAAATTTGATAAGTTGTATGTGATTTGAATGCTGCAGAATTGCATGCACAGTTTGTATCAGCACATGCTGCTGTATGCTTCAAATTTATTTATGCACATTAATCAGTCTGAAGATGATAAGTGCAGGATTGTACTGTATTAAGATTGATTGAAAAACTTGCAAAAATGTCAATGACTACATTTTTGTGCAACATAAATATTCACATGATTCATATGCTTGTAATGATTATTTTTTAGACATTTATTGCACACACGATTCATAGAAGCTGTATATGTTCTGATTATGATAAATCTAACATGTAACAATGTGCATGACTGCACCCTTACCTTTTCTGTCCAGGGTTTTCAGTTCACCATATGCCAAAACAAATTCCAATTTAAAGAATGCTAGTATGCTGGATTATCATCAGATAGTTCTGGATGATTATCAGCTACTTAGCACACTTACTTCATAAAGATCTTATGATCCCTGGTTATCATAGAACCATCATTGTTATTGTAAAAAATCTCATTTTGGTGACTGTTATTATTAATTGCATACTCCAGCTCATTGGTAGACTTTTCTCTACCTATAAATAAAGGCATCACTATATTTGGAAAAATTAGCACATCTAAGGGTAATACAGACAATGTAACAAGAAGTGAACAGCACATTGAACATATAATTTTTGGTTAATCACAAATATTTTTATTGTAATTTTGTCATTGTATAAAAGTTTTCTATTTTAAAAATGAGTAACTAATTAAAAATAAAATGAAACCTTAGAGCTGCCTACCTTTGTCAGACAAAATTATACTTGATCCAGTTTGTTTTTTCTTCACATAATGCATACAGAAAACAATCATCTTGTTGGTGACAAACTAAGGTTTTTAACAATTTCTTCCTGAAATTTCTTTTCCTCAACAACTTTTGGGCATCTGGTATGTTTTATATCCTTTATTTCAAAATTTCCCAAATGAAACTTTCGAAATCACATTTGACATTCTCAACATTTAGGAGTATCTTCCCCATACACTACAAGTATTTTTTATTGTTTGTATAGTGTTATATGCTTTACAAAACTTAAAAAGCATACATGACATGCATTTTATCTGCAAACATATTGATCTGATTTTGCATAAAAAGTGAAATAAAGTTGTAAAATAAGCTTCTAAAACAAAGAATACAATAACACATTAACAGTAATGTGTTAAATTTCACAACTATCTTAATTAAACTGCATATCTACTGTATATCACAAATCACTCTCAGCACAAAAATAGCAAATTCACCAACATCTTATTTGCTGAGAAAAACATAACTATGTTAAGTAAAGACAGCTGTTAATTAAAACTGCATTAATTAAAACTTTTGCTGTGTATATAAAGGGATTATCACAATTAATTTCACACATTAATCAAATCCCATGTTAAGCAAGGGATACCTGTAGTTACTATTTGCACATCACTACTAATTCAAAGAATCAGGATATCATCTATGTAATGCTTGTAGTGAAAAATGTCTTGGTGTCTTTAAGGATGATGCTTGCTTGAAATTAATTAACTTGTTTGCATAATGATCCTGAAGCTGAACTATTCATAGATACAATACAATGGATAACATCATTATGTCATTTGCATTAAGTGATAATTTACTTTTGGTTGTTGATTGTACAAGCCTTTTCTGTATAAGTTATCATTAAATTGGAAAGACAACATTGGCAAATAATATCCATTAGTTTTAAGATAATCATCCTTTCTAGAATAAAGCTGGCTAATTAGAAATTGAAAGTATAACTGTCTTTTGGTCATGTTTTATATGTTTTAACATGTGAATTACCACAAAAGTTTGTTAGAATACATTACTTCCACAGATTGTCATTAGTGTCTGAAGATTTCTTTAACAATCTATAGAACTGGATCATCAACTTTACCAAAATATCTCTTGCAGGACAAATCTTTTTATTGTTGCTCTGCTCTCTGTTGCTACTCCAAGTTCAGTTTGCAAAATTTGAAAACCAGGAACAAAGTTAAGGTCAGTACTAGATAAATGTAGTTCTCCTGCTATCCTAATTAAAAATACTCTCCAGAAGAGTATTGAGAAGAAAATCATTATCTACATATGTACAGTAGCAAACCCTTGGAACTCATTGATAGGTTATGTAACATTCACCTTGACAATGAAGAAGTGATCATGATCACCATTATGGACTTTGACTTGCTCTACCTGTCTGTTTATATAAAGCGATGCTTCTATTGTCTCATGGACTTTCTCTTAAACCCTGAACTACACATGCATCGTAAGCAAGTGTTGGAGCTAGCTCATCTAATGTGTTATTTTTCTTTCTTTGGTTTCACTGGTAACACCCATCTGCAGGGCCATGGGAAGCTTGTTTTCATGTATCATTTGTGCACTAGTCGTAAGAACTTTAGAGCAGGAAGTCATTAATTAAGGACTACAAACAACATATGCTTTTGTATACCAGAAATGTAAATGACATCCTTATAATACAATGCAGGAAACCTGGCATGCAGCAAATACTGGATAGCTTCAACAACAACTCTTATGGTCTTACTTTGCATCTAGAACAGATGTGCCACTTTCTGTATACTTCCTGGACATAGACATCACATTAAGAAACATAGGATCTCCATTAAA